CTGCACTCACTCGCACTCATTTATTTCCAAACATAACGTGCGATAGCATTGAAAAAACATTGTCGGTTGAGTGAGTAATTCACACTATCAAGTGCTCGATTCAAATAACAAGTGCTTGATTTGAAAAACAAGTGCATGGCATAACTGCTGTAATGAAAGTATCAAAGAAAAAACATTTGTAAAGACAATTTTTGTTAACTTTATTGGTTTCCTAACTGCATATTATAATGCAAAAATATCAACTGATTAAGGGCATCATCATTTGACAAAAGGTGCCATCTTTTGTCAGAAATAACATTTCCAACAGAAGAAAAAACTCTTTCTGGTGATGCGCTAGTTGAAGGACTACGACTGAGTTTATGCAGCAGCGGCATTTCGCATTTGTGTACCTCCCACCAATTAATTATATCGAAGTCCGTATGAAAATATACCTCAATATTTTCATATCTCCGCAGCTCTGCAGTAGCTTAATCAGTTCTGCTCACAAAGGTAGGTTGTTTAAGAAGACCTGAAAACAGCTCAAAGTTGTCTGAAGGTAGCAAAGGTGTATCCGCAATTTGTGGTTCCGTTGTACTGTCGGAGTTCTCAGTTAACGTTCTCATAATTTGTAAACATTTCTCTTTTGTGTACCTTTGCTCAGATTCGGTAAAGTTCTTGAGCTCTTTTGCTGGCGGGTATAAAAAAGCACAATTTTGTGCAAATCTGTTAGTTTTTAACAGCAACTGTTTTTAAATAATAAAGCAACTTATTTTTCAAGTCCCTTATAAAGCCGATGTTTCCTGAGGTAACATTGCATTTCTTTTGTAGACTAATGGCCTTATTCATAAAAAATAAAGTAGGTTTAAAGAGCTTTATAAATTGACGTTTTCAATTTATAAACCTTTTATAAAGCTACTTTATTTTTTATGAATAAGGCCATAATTATATAAATGCACGTCAGGTGCATAACTAAATAATTTAGTAAAACTAATACATTTAAAAAAATACTTCATCAATATCCATTTTTCTCAAGATTGTCGTATTCTCTACTAATTGTTTGAAGTCAATAGGTGTCATTCGATTGCTCGACTTGCTTTTCATAACAGCATTTTTCACTCGCTTGACTTGATTTGGAAAGAGTATCTCAATGCCATATTTGAAATCAAATGAGTACACTGCAGCTAAACATTGATTTCAAAACTAACTATGAATCTCACTGTTTGCACGGTGTTTTTCACTAACCTTATAGAGTTCACAGCAATGAGTTCATACTGTTTAGATGGAAGAGAGTAAACTCATGCTGTTGTCTGGTATCTACCAGGGTTGTTGCGAATATTCGCACTCGCATTTGCAACCGCGGAGCTTCCGCATTAATTTTAACATTCGCATTCGCAATAATCAATGCGGAGCTTTTGCGAATGCGAATATTTTGCAAGTGGTATAAACGATAAAACGTATATATGGCAAAAAAAAATTACATATTGTAGCCAATATTTTTGCCTGTGGTCGTAGGAGTATTTGTGTAACAAAACTGGTCAAATGTCATATTGATCAACTTTGATAAAAATGTCTTTATAATATTATTTCTTAAGCTATATAACCGAGCTATGACTGGGCAGCCATAAAAGTTCCCATTTCTACTTGGCCTTTGACGTACTTCAAAGAGAACATAGTCCTTTTAATAATATTTTTTTTCCGTGCTTTAAATACCTGCGTTGGTTTATTTCTTTATTATGATTTTTTTGGACCAATCCTAAAAAAAAACTACTAGACACAAAAGAAGAAAGTGTGCACTGTAATTCTTAAAAAAAAATTCGGTATTTGCTTTTGATGTTATAGGCGGCATACACGGTGCGTCTGACTCGTGAGTCGGTTTGGATGTGTTTGTGAAAATAAATATGTGTTTGTTACACCAACATGACTCCCGGCATGACTCTGAATGATTGAACTGTGTGTAGTCGAAGGCGAGTCAACACATACACAAATGACTCGCGAGTCGACGTACCGCGTATGCCACCTATTACATATATTCGTTTAAATAATTTCAAATGGGGCTCTTTGGGGAATTCATTTCTAAACAGTAGTTTTGTTTACTTGTTGGATAATATTTTTTTCATATGGATATACATCGGATCCTTGGCTAAAAACTTCTGTGGTAAAACTGTCCCTTCTTTGCTATTTAAAGTCAATGAGTACGCTCCTTCAATAGGGATTTCCACTAGAAATGATCAACGTCTAGCTATAAAGAGAATCGATGCTCAAATAATTAAAAAGCAGGGACATAACAGTTAGAAGTTTTATAGCAAAAACGTTGCTCCATAACAGTTATTAGATGAGAAATACTTTTTATTTCGTCGATAAGAGTTATAACCCAACGTTTATTTTTTACGTTGCCTAATAACTGTTATGCAGGAGAAATATTTTTTCCGTTGCCGATAAGAGTTATTTCCCAACGTTTATCTTTTACGTTGCTGGATAAGAGTTATTTTACACCCTTTATTTTTTACGTTGTCTGATAAACGTTGTAAGATTAGGATATTGATGAAGATGGAGATGGAGAATAAGATAAAGACGATGAAATAAAAGTGAGAGAGTGAAATAACTATTATCAGATAACGTAAAAATATTCGTCGGGCAATAACTGATTTCAAGCAACGTTAAAAATAAACGCTATAAGCACAAATTTATCAAAGCAGTCGCAGAAGAAAGTATAAAAAATGAATTACAAAAACAAAAATCGAAAAGTGCTGATAAAGTTACAGGTTCTGCAAATTCTGAAACAACATGACATGTATCTGGTTTGGCTTGTAACAGTGGCGGACCCAGGTAGGGGCAATTGGGGAAATTTACCCCCAAGACTGTGTAATATATATTTTCATAATAGTCAGCTGAATATCGTGAAATATCATTACAGGAATATATAATAGGTTTGTCGCACAAGCTACTTGTAGAAAAACTCGTGCAAAGTTAAAACTGTGAGCGTATATCAAAGAAACTCCAAAACTTACATGAGGAGCTCCAAGTGATTCGAGAAGATTGGGGAACAAACCTAATGAATGGATGCTTTTAAAAATTTTAATTCATGGAAAAAGTGTGTAAAATTTCACTTGAGTTTGAAATTTTAGCTGTGTGCTAAGTTCGAAGTATTATGTTATTTAAGTAGGCCTATCAGTTTTTCGAATTCACTGAACTTTCAAAATTTTGAAATTATGTACTTAATGTTAAATTTTTAATTTTTTTGTTATATTTTCGAATTTGTATTATTTTACACAGTTGAAAGTCACAGCAAGTTTGAATATCTTCACAGGTTCAGAAAACAACGAAAATTCCAAAATTTTGAATTTTATAATATTATTAAATTTCTTGAGATTTCTTATTTTTAGGATAATTTCCAAAATTTCAAAAACTATCCAAATCCGGGAGATTCTAGGAATTTTGGTAAAATGAGAATATTTTGAAATGTACAAAATTATTGAGATTTTAGAAATTTTTATATTTTCAAAATTTTGAGAATTTAATTTATCCTAAAATCCATCATAAATGTAAAAATGTGAATCATCACACATTGTCGAAAAATTCTCATGTTCATGGTACTTCTGTGTAAAAAATAGAAAATTCTTAGAATTCTAAAAGATATTAACATTTTTGAAAAATTCCAAAATTGTTCCACTTTTCTTAAATTCTCCAAAATTTTGTATTGATATAACAAAGTTTGAGAATTTTAAATTTTTTGAAAATTTTGAAAACATCAACGTCCAAAAATTTTTTGAATCTTCAAGAATTACGAAAATTTTTTAAATTTTCAAAAACGGCGAAATATCTACAATTCTCAAAATTTTTGAAAAATAAAAAATTTCTAGAAATCTAGTATTCATCATTGAATTATTGGGATTTACTAAAATTTCACAAATTCACAAAGTTTGAAAGTTTAGAAAATTTTGGAATTCCACTCAAGTTATTAAAAAGGGGAAACATCAAGAAGTTCCAAAATTGTTCCACTTTTCTTAACTTCTCCAAAATTTTGTATTGATATAACAAAGTTTGAGAATTTTAAATTTTTTGAAAATTTTGAAAACATCGTCCAAAAATTTTTTGAATCTTCAAGAATTACGAAAATTTTTTAAATTTTCAAAAACGACGAAATATCTACAATTCTCAAAATTTTTGAAAAATACAAAATTTCTAGAAATCTAGTATTCATCATTGAATTATTGGGATTTACTAAAATTTCACAAATTCACAAAGTTTTGAAAGTTTAGAAAATTTTGGAATTCCACTCAAGTATTAAAAAGGGGAAACATCAAGAAATTAAAAACTATCAAAACTCTAAAAATTTTAAAATGCGGTGATTTTTAAATTTATATACACGATATAAAAATACTTGAAATCCGCATTCGTATCCGCATCTGCGGATGTTAGCTGTTAGATATTCGCATCCGCATTCGCATCCGCGGATGTCTAAAATTCCACATCCGCAACATCCCTAGTATCTACATACCCATTGTTTTAATTTTTCATGTTGACGAAGAGTTTTACACGATTTCTTATTATACATATAACTAATCTTGTGCAAGCCTAAGAAATGGTTACGATTGAAAATTAAAATAAAACATAAAAACTTTAAAATTTTTTTTTTCAATTTCTCATTTGATGTAGTATATATAGTGGCCGATCGCCAAACTCGGCTTTATTTTTGGGTGTTCTTGCTTTGGTCTTCAATTTAAACGAAAAAAGAAACGGTTGCTACCGTGGCCAAATTATTTTGTTGCGTGGCTTCAATGGCACGCGTGGCTTTGGTTCGTCAGCCCTGTTCTATGAATTCCGCGCTAGAGATGGAATGAAAGTCATGCGTTTAGATTATGAGGTAGCATGTTATCCGGAACGTTCTAATGAATAAGTAAACGGAAAATGTATGTATTCCGAACGTTTGGAATCAATAAGGAAACACGCACGAAATCTTCTGTGATCACTTGACATGGATTTACTATTTATTCTGTTAAGTATTGTATATTTAATTTCAGAGTATACGAATATATTCTTCATTGGACTATTTACCTGCGAAATGATGCTCAAGATGTATAGTTTGGGTTTTCAAGGATATTTCGTGTCATTGTTTAATCGGTTCGACTGCTTTGTTGTTATTGGTAGCATTACGGAAACGATATTGACTAATACGGGAATAATGCCACCACTAGGAGTGTCAGTATTACGTTGCGTTCGGCTCTTAAGAGTCTTTAAAGTCACAAAGTAAGATATTTTAGTTTATTTATTTATTTCTTACGGCTCTATTGCGCCTAGATCTTAACAATAATAGACTTAACCTAATTAGTTTATAATAAATTACATAGGTCCAATTGAGACATTTTCTTAGGAAATAGTTTGCATGCCATCAAAATATCAAAGAACGGAACAAAAGTAAACCGAATACATAGAGTTACTGAGTTAAATAATATCGAGCCCTAACCGTCAAAAGGGCGTGAGCGACAAAATATTCGATTTTCTGTTTTTTACAGAAAGCGATTACTTACTACTAGAGTCCGACCGATTCCATTTTTTTCAGGTACCGATGCCGATGCCAATTAATCTTATATGGAGAAAGAATCGGCCGACGCTGATACCGATTCCATAAAAAATTTCAAATAAAGGTATTTATTCATAAAATCAGTGGATTTAACGGAGTTAACAAAACAAAAGAAAACAATTACTTGAATTCATTGGCTTGTTATGCAACGTTGATCGACAATTATCACAATTT